AGTGAGTGTAGTGGTACCATCCACTATGCCGACGCTGTGAAGGGCCAATTCACCATTTCCAGGGACAATGCCCAGAACACTCTGTACCTGCAAATGAACAGTCTGAAGTTTGAGGACACAGCCACTTATTGCTGCTGAAGACGCAAAGTAGCACAGTGAGTGAATGCTACTGTGGGCTCAGACACAAACCTTACAAGGCTTACAGGACCAGCAGGGGGCGCTGAGAGCACACAAAACTCTGGTCAGAGAGGCGCAAACAGGGATGGATGCCTCTGTGTCTGGCCTTCCTCTCCACACCACAATCAGGGCTTCTTTCTACAGGGTGATGTGTGGTAACCCATGAAGTGTCCAAATATCTATTCGAGTATCCATTTTCCATCGTTATCTGTGTTTTTTATTTATTTAATATACGGTTTCTCCCCTCACCTCTCTGCCTTTTCGCCTTTCTATCCTCTCTTGCTCTCTCTATCTTCCTGTTTCCCCTACAGCCCCCAATGTCTTTTTGGCCTTCTGTCTCCCTCCCTCTTTCATGGTGTGTGTGTGTGTGTGTGTGTGTGTGTGTGTGTGTGTGTGTGTGTGTGTGCTGACATGATGCTCTCTATCAAGCTGAAACATATTTTCTGAGACAACTTCTCTAACTATGCCTGGAATTGACCAACTGACTATACACGTTGGCCAGTGAGTTCAAGTGATTATGTTGTCCCCATTTAACTTCGATGGGAAGAGAGAAAAGATGAGGCTGAGGGTAGGTGGGCCCAGAAGGGTCAAAGGAGTGAGAGGAAGAAGAGAGAAGGTAGTGTGATGAATCAGTGTGATCATAGTACATTTCATATAAGTATGTAGATTTGTTTTTAAGTAGAATGGTTGATATATATGGAAAAGAATATTTTCAAATAGCATTGGATATATATATATATATATATATATATATACTTATCTGTCTTTGTATGTGTGCCTTTGTGTGGTATTGTCTCAGTTGCTGTATGTCCATCTGTGTATACTTGTTTGGGTGTGTGGGTTATATTGAGAAATGCATATTTGCCCATAATATGTAAGTAGTCCACATTACAGAGTTTACGACAACATCCTGTAACCACAGAGACATGCGGTGGGGTCTGGTGCCAAGGGAGGCTAGGATTGAGGGTTTGACTTCAGGTTGTAACCTCCCTTCCCATGAACAAGTCTCTGTATCCATTCCAGCTCCCCTTCCTGCCTAAGATGCCAGTCACTCTCAGAACACCAGAGGCTGAGAACACAGGTAAGTAGGCCCTGCCTTCATCATTTCAGAGGGTGACAGATAATGCAATGTTATAAGCATAGTTTGCATTTAGTTATACCTTGTCAATCAGATGTGTGGTAGTGAATAATGAGGTTCCTGCATACGTGGTGGATCATCATCACTGTATACAATGATGTCATCATTTCATGTTGTCTAGACTCTGGACAGGAGCCACAAGATGAGGATGCAGATTTTTGCTCCCCTTCACTCCCTCCCTCTCTCTCTCTCTCTCTCTCTCTCTCTCTCTCTCTCTCTCTCTCTCTCTCTCTCTCTCTCTCTGGCTTATTTTGGTTTGATTTGCCCTTCCTACTCTTACATTCTTGAGATTTGTGCTCAGAACATTAACAATTTATACTTTCTTTTTCAACCTTGTTTTATAACCAGTCACATATACTGTGCATTAAGAAGAGGAACTCTTGTTAGCTGGTGTTCATTTGAGGACAGGATGAGCCATTGCTGTCATCAAAACATGATTTTCTGTAGAGAAAAAACAGAATATTTTTTAAAAGTAGCAGTACTAGACCTATAACTATGTGGTAGGGTGCTTACCTACCATGTGCAAGATCTTAAGGTCAAGAACCAAGACCAATTTAATGTCAGAAACGTGTGCTGAAAATATCATTTCTCACATAAACTGCACTTAAGAAAATCATCTAAGGGCCGCAGAGGGAATGACAGTCCCTAGAGTAGGAAGGGCAGATGGAACACAGTGGAGAGGTAGCAAGTCCACAGTGCATCACAAGAGTTGGGTTCCAGAGTAACATGAGAAGCAGCTAAGCCAAGGTCTGAAGCTTGACACAGCTCCATGACACAACATGCATGATAAAGTTCTAAGCACCTAAAACAATGAGCTCAACGCATGGAAAGGGAAATGTTTGAATGAATGGAAATGCCCATTGCTGATACTATGTGTGCATTTTTGTATGCTTGCACTTGCCTCTGGAGGACACAGGTAGATTCTGAGTGTCTTCCTCTGTTGACCTCTACCTTAGATTTTGAGACAGGGTCTTGATGCTGCAACAATAAACAGCACACTTACTGAAAGTAAAACTAAGTATTTATTATAGAAATTACTCACAAGAGACCAAACAAGTAACCCAGATGAGCCGAGTAGTTTTCCACCTCCGAACTGGAAGCTGAAAGCCAGAAAAAGAGAGCAAGACTTCCGTTGTTCAATCTTTTATGCCTTCCCCCCGTAACGCCCCCTAGCCATGCCCAAAAGTGGGCCTGGCTAGTGACGTAGTTCACCGCCTATGTACGTATACGTCTTTACGTCCGTCCATATATGTCTTTAGTCATGCCTAAAGTGGGTGTAGTTAGTGGTGTGGTAAACTGCTCTTTTATTACCTCATCTGTATGTGCCTCTAGTAAGTCACATGGTTAATGGCGGCATTGTTTTCCTCCTACAGGGTTAGTAGTTTATTGATTTTAGCTGTGCATGTGATGAATGGGAATGGTGGTGCACAATTTTAATCCAGTCTCAGAGAGGTTGTGGCAAAAGACTCTCTCACAGTTCAATATCAGGTTGTTCTTCATAGTGAATCCAGGCCAACTAGTGCAAATGATTACATCCCCCATATCCATCCTCTCATCAGAAGAATTTTCAGTTATTCTGGATTCCTATATTTTGATTTCATTGACACCATGACCAAAAGGAACATGGGAAGGAAAGGGTTTATATCATCTAGAGTCTTACAGACTATATGGAAGAAAATCAGATCATGAAAAAAGGATGGAGGCTGAAAATGGGAACTGAATCAGAGATCACAAACAAATTCTGTTCACCAGCTTGCTCCCCATGGTTGATCAGCATGCTTTCTTTTTTTTTTTCATTTTAAGAGACAGGGTTTTGCTGTATTGTTTTGGAGGCGGTCGGTCCAGCCTGGCCTCGAACTCAGAGATCTGCCTGCCTCTGCCTCCCGAATGCTGGGATTAAAGGGGTGCGCCACCACCGCCCGGCCAGCATAATTTCTTACACAACCCAAAAACACCTGCCCATGGATGACCCCTTCCAAATCTGTCTGAGTGATCCAATAGCAATCATGGATCAAGAAAGTACTGCACAGTCTTGAATACAGACCAAATTGATGGAAGCATTTTTTCCACCTGAAGTTACTTGTTCCCTAATGACGCTAGCTTGTGTTATGTTGACAGGAATCTCATCGCCACACAAATGCATAGGCAGGTACTGTCTTTACTACATGACCCATTAAGAGAGTGTTAATGTGTCCATCAGGCATGAGTAAATTATAACTGAACAATTAAAAAATTAAGCATCCATCTCCCAAAAGAAGATAATTTAAATAATGATGGGTATGATTATGAACATGTTACCTTTTCTAGCAACTTTTTCTTAGTGACTTCCTTCTATTAAGTTTCATGAAGAAGAAAATACAAAGAAGTAAGACATTACAACTTACAGACACAAACGCACTAAGAGATAATCAAAGACAAAAGTACTTCAGCAATTGGAATTATTCCAACTACCCAGATACAGTAGGAGAAACGTGCTGTTATTTCTGGAATACTTCTTACCAAAATTTTGTAACCATAATGAAAATATCTGTCAATCCCAAGCTGAGACACACTGAGAAGAATGTCTTTAAATATTGTTCTAACAGCACAGCATCATGAACAAGGGAAAGAACAGTCATAGTGTGGGTGGCCATCAGAACAATCACAGGATGGGTGACTCCATAATGATAAGCCAGTGTCACCATGCCACTCACAGTAGAAAACGATTGGGAAAAAGAAACAAGTTTTGATAAATGTGAGGCTTCCAAAGCCAAATAAGACAGACATTTTCTGAGCTCCGACTTAGGAGTTTGGATCCAGCTCTGCACTTCTCTTCCATGGTGATTACCACTAACAAGGTTGGAGAAAAGACTTACACCTTACTGTTTTCTATGTTGATGCTTACCTCAAGGTATAGAGTTTCCAGTGTGCAAGCATGTCCTCTTCCCCTCTTCACTACCTGACATCACTAAGGTTTCTCTGTCTTTTATTATTACTTTCATTTATATGAATTTCCAACCATGTTACAGGCTACTGATTATTATGGGATGTTATGAACAAATTGTCTTCACATCCTTCACTAATACAACAATCATCTTTAGGAACCTGTGTGTTAATGAGCTACAAGCCAAGGAGTGACAAAGGGAGATACAATATTATGTCAAGACAGCTAGACTGTCATAAATCAAGAGCCTAGAATGATTGTACACAAAGCAGTCCTATGGATCTCCTCCCAAAAAAATATGGAAGATTACATATGCTAAATTGTTGTGATATGCTTTCGCATGACTTATTTCCCAAAAAGTCATAAGAATATGACACCTTCACAGACACAAAGAGAATGAATATTAAGTAGTTGCTTAAGCAGCATTTCTGGTTAGCAAGAGACCCGATGTCATTTGAATTCTCTGCTGCAAGTTTTAGGGCCATAGAAATGTGTTAAGGACGTGGTATCCTATTTTGCATACACTAAATGAATGAGGACTCACGTACTACGAACATTCTCATGTTTTTCTTTCAAAATGTTCACAGTATAACTGAGATAATTTATGTTTATCCAGACATGGGAATCCAGCCTGGACAAAGAGAATGATCCTGAATTTCCATCACCAGCTCCTCAAAAAGAACAAGGCAAACATCAGTCTCTAGGATGGAAAAATGAAAACCTTGCCCTGTGTCTCCTTTTATCCTCTCAGGATCCTCCCCCAATGCAAATCAGCCTCAAGCTCAGAGTGAAAGTCCAGGCCTAGCTGAGCAGCCCCATCTCCTTCTCACTCCAGCCTAGAGCAGAGCATGGCTGTCCTGGTGCTGCTCCTCTGCCTGGTGACCTTTCCAAGCTGTAAGTGTGCAGGATTTGAGGAGAGGGACACAGGCATGTCATTATGGGATGTATGACTGATGGTGATGTTGTTTGTCCCCAGGTGTCCTGTCACAGGTGCAGCTGAGGGAGTCAGGACCTGGCCTGGTGCAGCCAACACAGACCCTGTCTCTCACCTGCACTGTCTCTGGGTTCTCATTATCCGACTATGATGTGCACTGGATCCGCCAGCCTCCAGGAAAGGGGCTTGAGTGGATGGGAGCCATATGGTATGATGGAAAAACATACTATAATTCAGCTCTCCAATCCCGAATAAGCATCAGCAGGGACACCTCCAAGAGCCAAGTTTTCTTAAAACTGAACAATGTGCAAACTGAGGACACAGCCATGTATTACTGTACCAGACACACAGTGAGTTAAATCCCTTGTGACCCTGAACAGAAACCTCCCTGCAGAGACACTCAGTACCAGGAGGGGGCGCTGAGGACAACGGTGACTCTAGGAACAGTAGGCGTTACTTCAGGTCCTAGAAAATACTGGGCTATGCTATAAGAGAATGTGCTTAGTTGTCGGGACCTGTGGGCTCCTTTCTACCCAGGGGAAATCTCTAGAGACTCCTCCAATGGTCACGTTCTATTGAAATTCATATTCATTCACACACTGAAACAAATGACTTTCCTCACAAATTGCCTGCTGTCTATATGCATATTGTTAGTAGACATCTCAGCATATAACTGTAGATATTCCAAATATGTGCATTCCACTATATACATGTATTTCTACAGCATACTGCAGTTTTGAGAAATGTGTAATTGATATTCTTTATTTGGGGTGTGCGTATGATGGAAAACCTCCACCTTCCCTGAAATAATGCTATTACCCAGACCACTCACCATGGACTTAGGGCTCAGCTGGATATTCCTTCTTGTTATTTTAAAAGGTAACTGATGTCCAGAAGATGCTGAGGGTCTGTGCCATGAGAGTGAAACTGTTGGCTCCTCTGTCAGTTTACAGACAGGATCCTCTGTGTTTAGTCTTTTACAGTCATTGTCATATGGTCATTAAATGAGTGTCCATGTGTCTCCTAGGTAAGAGTTAATGCATGCCTGAATAAACACAAGGACAAGAATTTATTTCTGAAATAGAAGATAATTGTGGATAATGTGCAGTTTTACCCAGAAGGCATTTTCTTTGAGAGTGACTTTTCTAGTGGCTTCCTCTAGAGAGTTTCAAAGAGAAAGGAATAACATAAAACAAGCGGTCACACAAAATGTGAACACTATTATTTATGTAACCAGAGATAAAACTTATTGATTAAGGGTGTCTTATACCAGTTCTCCAAAATATTAGGAGAATCACGCAATTATTCTCCTACTTTTGTAAGATCCTATAAGAATAATGAAAACCAGACAACCCCAACATGTGACACGTTGAACACAATGTGTGAAAGATATTCTCAAGAAATAAGACAACACCGAAAAGGAGAACACAGCACTCATGGTGGTGTGTGCCCATCAGAGCATGCGCAGGATGGCAGGCTCGCCAATGCTTCCACTCAAACCCCAGAGTGTGCACAGATGTCTAAGAGACACAACATGTGTGGTTTCTGTAGGCGTGAACCCCACAAAGCTATCTGCCCATCAAAGCGGGGTCAAGGTAGAGATAAAAGGAAGTGAAAGAAAAAGGGTCTTCCCTTTTCTCCTGAAAGCCAGCCACGCTTCTAACTCCTGGTCTGTGCGACTCTCTCCCTCTCTCTCTGGTAAATAAATATATTGTTTTCCCTGTATAGCATCGAATATCGTTATAGGTTTCCATTGTGAAAGAAGTGGTGGGTGTTCTCTGGATCATAACTGAACAGGTTGTTCAGAGCTATTCTCTTCCCTTTCCTGGCGATTTACACCACCAAGGCATGGAGAAAAGCCCATAGTGTCTTGTTCTCCATGGTGACCTTCACCACAAAGCAAGCCTTTCCCATCGTCAAGCATGCCCTGCTTCTTGTCAATTAGGGATTCTGTCTTTTTATTACTTCAGTTAACATACCCTCAAATCTGGCTGTTTTCCCCATAAACTTCTGAAATATATAATTGCTTCTTGTTATCAGACAAATCGCCACATTAATTTTATATATCCATACATACACTTTATCACATATATATTCATACATGTACGTGTATACTTCATCGGGAGTCTCAAATTATTACCCCATTGACTATAAATTCTGTAAGACAGCTTGGGAATTTTAAAAAAACATCCTCTGTATTTCTATACTTGTGAAAGATAAACCACAATTTCCCTGAATTAATGTGTTTTCCAGTTAGCTTGGTGAAGAAATCACCCAAGTTTCCTAATTCTAAACTAATAGGACCCCATAAAGTGCAAAGTTATTATCCTTTTTGCAAGATCTTATTTTTAAACATTTACATAATGGTGAATATTACCTTGCACCTCGAAGTACAAGCTAATGACTCCTCTATAGGTGTGTGATACCCCTTAAAAAACACAGACTTCTCACCCCAGTGAGCTCATCCCAGCTGGTATCAGCTCCAGTCCTGGCTCCATCTCTCATCAGCCCTTCCCAGAGGCAACTGAGTGCTCTGATTTTCACAGTTGGTGCTTTTGCTGCCTACACAGACTCCAGAGTTCCTGCTCTGTTGCTCTCTGTTCCTGGTGACCAATCAGCGTGGTGTCTCATGTGTGAACTGCAGAAGTGTCATTCAGAGAAGCAGTGTGGGCTGTGGGCTCTATGTTAATGGATCATGACTTGAAAAACTGTAAATAAGAAAAGAGAGTATCCACATCGGATGCTGAGGCTTCTCTCGGAAGTCTTGAAGTGACACCAAGAGTGTGTGAAAAACTTTGGAGACAGAATTGTCGTGATTCTTATAGGCATGAGAACAGAAGACTCGATAGTGACTTGGACAACTCCACACAGTCCTGAACACACAGGATCCACTGTCATGTTGTCTTATGTCACTGTGAGCATCAGCCTACATGGCCGGTGGCAAAATGGGATGAGCAAATTGAATCTTTAGAAAAGGTGTATAAAGCATGTATACACAGAAGATGATAAACAAATTATAATCTGCCAATATTCTATCCTAAGCTTATCTATCCCATCTAAATCTAAGCTTATCTGAAAGAGACGCCCAATCTGAGCACCTCCTTCCAATCCCAACCCTAAAATAACTGAAAACTAACACGAACATGTGTATACTACAATATCAACAATAGGGAAGAGGGCATAGTATTCTCAAAATTATTCCTGCTGAAAAGGGACGATGCCAACCTCATGGGATCCTGAACAGAAAAATGTTAGTGTAACAAAAGACTCATTCGCATTCAGTCTCTCTTGGTGGGAGACAGGTGCCCCTGTGAAAACAAGAAAGCACTTCTCTTGCCCTTTATGAGGTCTTTTTTATGCATAGTAGAATATGACCTTGTCAATGAGCTGTCATCTTTCCTCCTCCTGAGGATTCTCCTGTTTGGATCAAATCTTGATCAATTATGATGGAATCCAAAGTTCTTCTTCTCCTGTAGAAACAAAGGCAAGACCCTTTCCCCAACGTAACACATGTGCTGGTTTCCAAACTGAGGTCATAACATCCTTGAAGCACACTGGCTGATTTAGTTCAGAAGTTTTCTCTGTAGTCCAGAGTTTTTCTACAGCTCTTTGTCCATTCTCATTAGCATTAAGAAAGTTCAATGTTAGTAAAGCATTACATAATCTGTGTTTGGGGGTCTTTGTTCCCCCTGGCTGTTTATGAAGCATTTATTTCAGGGGGGGTTAGATCTCTCCACCACTGCTTGTCCTGAAGCGTTTTAAGGTATAACAGTAACATGTTTTGTGTTATAATATTTGAAAAACTGATCCAATTAGCTGGAGACACATGCCAGAGCATTGTCAGTATTTACTTGTGCAGGTATACCCATAACAGCCATCACCTCTAAAAGGTGTGTGATAACAGATTCAGTCTTTTCAGAGATGGGGGCAGTAACACATTGGAAGAATGAGAGTGTGTCTGTGGTATGATGTACATATTTCAAATTTCGAAATTCTGGAAAGCAAAATACATCCATTTACCAAATTTCATTTCTGAGAATACATTTGAGATTACTGTATGCTGGTAATGAATTTTGATTATAGAATGCACAGGTGGGGCAGTTTATTACTCTTTCCTTGGCTTGTTGCCAAGTGATAGAAGAGTCCTTCTTTAAGCCTTTGCTCTTAGCATGGTGTGAATTATGAAATTCTGAACGTTCCAACACACTTCATATTAATAAACGATCAATCTCATCATTGACTGTGCTAGAGGACTTGGCAGACGTGTATGGGATCTGACCAGTTTACATTGTGGATTTGCATTCTCATAAGCTGGAGATTCTATATGGAGTTGCCTAGTATCTGAATCAGTTACCTGTATTTCTACTGGTCTAGACAGCCTTTGCAAAAATTGAGGGAAGTGTTCTCTCTGACACCGTACCATCTTGGTGTACATTTGCATTTTTTTCTCCTGGCTCAAGAACCTTATTCAAAGCATTCACAACTGCTCTACTGCATGAAGATGGTTGTCAAATGCAGCTCAATCCTGTGGATCAGCATACTTGCCTTCATCAAGAATCTTATCTTGGGAAGCCTCAAAACCTTGCTTCAAACCTTGAAGTTAGAGGGGGTTGGCTTCCTGTCCTCTGAAAACCCTCCATTGTATTTGGGAAGAATGGTCCAGCATCGCTGATATTAAATTACTGCAAAATGTGTGTGTGTGATTTTATTCATTCTTGCCCTGAGTGCTTGGATTCCAGAATCAAAAATTGTTTCAATGACTTAATAGAATCTCTATGTCCTTTGGACTTGTCAGTCAAGCCCAATTCCATGAATTTCATCTTGTCCTCCCTAGAGGACTGAAAGGCATGTAAATTGCCTTCCAGAAACATCATTCTTTCTGCTAAATGGCCACTTGCTTGACACAGAATAAATTGCCCTGGTAATTTGGTAACTTCCTCCTGGCTGGACTCTATTGTGGTCATAAATCCAGTGGACATTGAATTAAAATATCTTGCAGGTTGTTCTGTTTTGGTTCCAAGTTATCTGCTATGGTGGCCAAATCCTCTTTTATCTGAAGATCCTGAATATTTGACTCTAATTTTTGAATCATCTGCACACTTTCCCCATTGCCTGTGTTTTTAATTACTCTCTTCCATGTGATTATATGTATTAGGACACTTACCGCGAGCAGTAGACACATATCATAATCGTTTCCTAATAAATAATCCAAGACATTGACAATGACATCTCGAATGTTCTGCAGTGTTAAATTATCTGCCATGGTATAATATAGGAAGCTTGCCAACTGCAATTTGTTTGGGGAATGTTACATGCAGTTAGCACCCTTGGCCAGCAGATGGCAGAGGTGTTACGCCAAACACAGCTCCTCTGCAAAACACAGGTATTATTCCAAGTAACAGGTAAAAGATACTAAACAACAAAAGGGGATCAAGGGTATACAAATTGGGAAGGAAGAGGTCAAACTTTCACTGTTTGCAGATGATATGATAGTTTACATTAATGACCCAAAGAACTCTACCAGGCAACTCTTACAGCTGATTAACACCTTCAGCAAACTGGCAGGCTATAAGACCAACTCAAGAAAATCAGTAGTCCTACTATATACAGAAGATAAAAGGGCTGAGAAAGAAATCAGAGAAACATCACCCTTTACAATTGCCACAAACAACATAAAATACCTTGGGGTAACTCTAACCAAACAAGTAAAAGACTTGTATCGCAAGAACTTTGAATTTTTAAAGAAAGAAATGAAAGAAGCCCTCAGAAAATGGAAAGATCGCCCATGCTCTTGAATAGGTAGGATCAATGTAGTAAAAATGACAATCCTGCCAAAAGCAATCTACAGATTCAATGCAATCCCCATTAAAATCCCAGCACAATTCTTTACAGATCTTGAATGAACAATAATCAATGTTGTATGGAAAAACAAAAGACCCAGGATAGCCAAAACTCTGTTCAACAAGGCAACATCCGGAGGCATCACCATCCTTGACTTCAAGCTCTATTATAGAGCTATAGTCCTGAAAACAGCTTGGTATTGGCACAAAAATAGACAGCTAGACCGTTGTAATCGAATTGAAAACACTTATTTTAACCCACACATGTATGAACATCTGATCTTTGCAAAGAAGCTAAAAATATACAATGGAATAAAGAAAGCATCTTCAACAAATGGTGCTGGCATAATTGGAGACTGGCATGTAGAAGAATGCAGATCGATCCATGTTTATTGCCATGCACAAAACTTAAGTCCAAATGGATCAAAGACCTCAACATAAATCCAGCCACACTGAACCTATTAGAACAGAAAGTGGGTGGTACCCTTGAACGAATTGGTACAGGAGACAGCTTCCTGAAAATAACACCAGTAGCACAGACAGTGAGATCAACAATTAATAAATGGGACCTCCTGAAACTGAGAAGCTTCTGTAAGGCAAAGTACACAGTCAGCAAGACAAAAAGGCAGCCCAAGAATGGAAAAAAATTCACTAATCCCACATCTGACAGAGGGTCGATCTCAAAAATTTACAAAGACTCAAAAGCAACTCTGCAAAACACCAAAGGATACAATTAAAAAGTGAGCTGCAGAACTAAATAGAGAATTTTCAATAAAGGAGTCTAAAATGGCTGCGAGGCACTTGATAAAGTGATCAACATCCTTAGCCATCCAGGAAATGCAAATCAAAACAACTCTGAGATACCATTTCACTCCCATCATAATGGGTAAAATCAAAAACACCAACGACAATTTATGCTGGAGAGAAAGTGTTGAAAGGGGAACACTCCTCCATTGCTGATGGGAGTGCAAACGTGTTCAGCCACTTTGGAAATCAGTGTGGAGATTCCTCAGAAAAATGGGAATAAACCTACCACAAGATCCAGCAATTCCACTCTTAGGCATATATTCAAAAGATGCCCATTCCTACAACAAGGATGTCTGTTCCACTATGTTCATAGGAGCATTATTTGTAATAGCCAGAACCTGGAAGAAACCTAGATGCCCCTCAACCGAAGAGTGCATAGAGACAATGTGGTACGTTTAAACAATGGAGTACTATTCAGCAGAAAAAAAACAATTGAATCCTGAGATTTGCAGGCAAATGGATGACACTAGAAGAAACCATCCTGAGAGAAGTAACCCAGTCACAAAAAGAGAAACATGGCATGTACTCTGTCATAAACGGATCTTAGACATAGATATAGGGAGTGCCAGCCTACAATCCCATGGCCAGAGAGTCTGGGAAACAGAAACTTTATTCAGTGGATGATGGAAGAAGAGGCAGACTCCGACACCAAAGCACTGAGCTGAACTCAAGAAAGCCAGTAACAGAGAGAGAGGACTGATGACCAAAGGGATTAAGACTGGGTTGGTTTAACCCCCAGAAACACCTGACCTGAAAAAGGTTAAACATTGAATCCCAGGCTGATGCCTGGGAATCCAGCATGGGACTGATCAAGACCCCCTGAATGAGGGTGTCAGTGAGGAGGCCTAGGTAATCTATTGAGCCTTGGGCAGTAGATCAGTATTCATCTCGAGTATACACATGGACTTTGGACTCCCAACAATCTGAGATGCAGTCTCACCCTGAACTCTTGGGGGAGGGTCTAGGCCCTGCCCTGGATGAAATGAAAGACTATGGACACCCCCATGGAGGGCTTCACCCTCCCTGGGGAAATGATGGGATAAAAGGGTGTTTGCTGGGAGGGCATGGGAGGAGGGGAGGGAAAGGGAGAGGGACCTCGAACTGACTTGTGAAGCAACATTGTTTCTAATCAAAATTTAAACTTAAAACTGAATAATAATTATAATAAAGAAAAAAAGAATAAGTACATAAAATAAGAAAGATATTAAACAACTTGCACAGAAATTTATAAAGCAGATTCAGGGTGGGAAAAGCCTGTGTAGATTGGGAGACCCTTGGCCAGATAACTATTGGTTTTTTCTATGACTGTATACAAACACTACTGAATCTGTTGAAAGGTTGTCTTATCTGGACTGTTTTATTGGTGTCTGCAGTCTACTCTGACCATGTGAGCCAAGGCTTAAACCCGCCATGCAGCTCTGCACATGGCACTGGGTGACTCAAGTCCCCAGGCACCTGCAGAGAGTTCATCCCTCACCATGGCCTGCCTGAAAAGCTGTGTCTGGCTTCCTGATGGTATTTTTGAAGAGTTTAAAGCTTTCTCAGTTCCTATGTGGAAATATGTGAATCCACATTGGATTCTGTAAGTAAAAGAATTTTCTTTGGGTTGCTAGGTCACAAATATGACATGGAAAGACATTGTTAATTTTGAATCTTGGCCTTTACCTTAGGTTTGCTTTCAAGCTCTTATAACTTCAATTAACCCATAGTTTAGTAATCTGCATTTTACCATGGTGCTGTTAACTCTGTCCCATCTGAGTGTCTGCCTCATTGGGTCTGGCTGGCATCCAATGGGCCTCGACTATACTCTTCTTCCCTTTGCCCAGAGGTCACACCTATATCTCCTGCCTAGCTATTGGCGCTATTACAGCAATCACAGCAACACATCTTCATGCAGTGTACAGCTATTATGAAACATAGGCGGGTCTCTGACAGGTGGAGGCTGGCAACACTCATGACTTTTACATTTCATGTATCTGTTCAAACCAAACTTAACACTGACTGAGTATCTGCTGAGTTTCTAGACAGTGGGACAGAAGGGTGCTGTGTAAAACAGACAACAAACCATCGAAAACACAGGCAGTGTGAAAGCAAAAGCCTGGAAAAAACCACCCATCAGGATGTTAAACAGAGAGAGGTAGAGGATCTACTGTCATTACAGAAATCCAGCAAACCTATTTCTAAGGGGAAAAGGCCAGGAGAACTTATTCACAAGCGTAAACATTGTCAGTACATATGCCCCAAATTGGCTAATGTAGTTATGTAAGGGCATATTGACAGAAAATTCAGGGGGTGTTTTTCAGTCTTACAGTATAGTGGCTTCATGGATGCTTACTCCCATGAGATCTCAACAAGACACGCGATAGTAAGCAGATATTACTGTATGCCCACTGTACCTCCATACATCATTTTTAAAAGATTTTTCAATTTAAAATAGAAAACCTTGCTCCACATGCCGATCCCAACTCCCTCTCCATCCCCTCCTCCCCCCACACACTACCAGGCCCCCCAGTCCCTCACCCTATCTCCTTTCCCATGCACAGGGATGGTGGGGTCTTCCATGGAGGATCTCGAGAGTTTGTCATTTCATCAGGGCAGAGCTGAGGCCTTCCCACAAGAGTCCAGGCTGTGACAGTATCCCTCATTGTGGTGTGGGCAGCCAAAATCCATTTGTTTGCCAGGGATAAATACTACCCAAAGTTCCATAGATTACAGCTGACCTGAGCAAGTGGGAGCTCATAGACCCCAGTCTGACAACTGGGGAACCAACATAGGACCAAACCAGGACCCCTGAATGTGGGAGGCAGTTGGGAGGCCTGGGCAGTCTATGGGACTTTGGCAGTGGAACCAATGTCTATCCCTAGTGTACAAATGGATTTTGGGAGCCCATTCCACATAGAGGGACACTGTCTCAGCCTAGATACTTGGGGGCGGGCCTGGATTCTGCCACAAATGATGTGACAGACCCCACTTGAGAGGACTCACCCACCCTGGAGAGTAGATGGAGGGATTATAGGATGCAGGGGCTGGTGGGGGGAATGTGAGGAAAGGAGGGAGAGGGAAATGCGATTGGTATGTAAAATAAGATTGTTTTTAATTTAAATAAAAATCAATTTAAAAAAGAACACTTTAGAAAAGATAAAAAAGAAAAAGGAAGTAAATAAAATGTGGTGAATACTTTATATGAAAATAAAGTACACAGCCAGTGATAATTTACTCTGTCATTTTACCGAATTGCCATTTGTGTGTCTGATGTCTTATGTCTGCTCTGAGCACTGCCCTCTTACCAGGTCCAACTCCAGAGCCTCCTACAGCAGGAAGACATGCAAATAAGGCTCCTCTGTGCCCATGAAAGCCAGCCCTGCCCTGACCCTGCAGCTCTGGCAGAGGAGCCCAGATCTGGATTCCTGGGTCCTCCCATTCTGTGATCAGCACTTAACACAAGCCACTCATCATGGACTCGAGGCTTATGTGGCTTTGTCTTATTCTTTTTTTAAAAGGTAATTAGTAGAGAGGAGATACTGTTTGTTTTGTGGACATGAAAAAGGGAAACATTAGCTTCTATGACAGTTTTCTGACTAGAATTCTCTGTTTGCAGGAGTCCATTGTGAGGTGCAGCTGGTGGAGTCTGGGGGAGGCTTAGAGCAGCCTGGAAAGTCCCTGAAACTCTCCTGTGCAGCCTCTGGATTCACCTTCAGTAGCTACGAGATGAGCTGGGTGCGCCAGGCTTCAGGCAAGGGGCTGAAGTGGGTCGCATACATTAGTTTTGGCAGTGGTACCATCAAGTATGCCGACGCGGTGAAGGGCCGGTTCAGCATCTCCAGGGACAATGCCAAGAACACCCTGTACCTGCAAATGAACAGTCTCAAGTCTGAGGACACAGCCATGTATTACTGTGCAAGGGACACAGTGAGTGAACACTGCTGAGAGCTCAGACACAAACCTCCCTGTAGGAAATTTGGAACCAGCAGGGGGCGATCAGAGCCCAGAAAGCTCTGGTCACATAGGAGCCTGTTCAGACAGGCAAACCGGGCTGGACTCCTCTCTGTCAAGGCTTCCTCTCCACACCACACTCAGCGCTTCTCTCTACAGTTGTAATGTGTAGTAATTCAACAAGAGCCCTAATATCTATTATACATTTTCCGTTGGAATCAGTGTTTTTGTAATTTATTTTACTGTTTCTTCCCTCACCTCTATGCCTTTATTCCTTTTTCTCCTCTCGTCCTCTCTCGTCTCCATCTTCCTCTCTCCCTCTGCAGCCCCCTCTGTTCTTTTGGCCTTCCGTCTTTCTCTGTCCCATTGTATGTACGTGTGTGTGTGTGTGTGTGTGTGTGTGTGTGTGTGTGTGTGTGTGTGTGTGTAAGGAAAAATTTTACGTTTCCATGGCGCTGACCAGTCCCATATAGCTGTGTTTACGGGTACGTACTGTCTCTCCCTACAGTTCCCCAAAGAGCGAAAGTCTCCTCTCTCTCACTGTTTATCCACTATATGTTCTAGGTACATGTGAACATACCTACACGGGAGTCGTCAATGCTACAGATATTTATATCACTCCCTACGCGTGTGTAAGTTTGTGTGTAACTATGTATGTTTGCATGTGTGTGCAAGTATGCTTGTGTGTATGTGTACAACTGTGTGTATGCATGTGTGTACATGTGTGTGAGTGCATGCCTGTGTGCACATACTTGTGGGCGCCTATATGCATGCGTGTGTGCATGTGTTAGTTCATGTGTGTGTATGCACGTGTGTGTGTGGACATATGATTCTATCAGTCTGCACATATTATCTGAGACAAGCTCTATAACTGTGCCTGGAATTGACCAACTGACCACACTGGTTGGTCGGTGAGTCCAAGTGATTATGCTGTCCCCATTTCACTTAGATGCAATAACTTGTTCACTGCCACATCTGGCATTTTTCTTGTCATGAAGATCTAAGTTCTGAGTGTAGATCCCACCCAAGCCTTGCTGTGTGGCAAGAACTTGAACTGCATACTTATTTTTACAGCCCTGTTAAAGTTGTTTTTAAATTTGTAAGGGTATCTGACCTGAACAAAGTGCAGATCATCACTCAGTGCAGACATAATTATGTGTGGTGAGCAGCATCAGGTCTTGAAGAAACAAAAGAACATGGAGATTGTGAGCCCTAGACTCAGGGCAGCTCAGAACCAGTGACAGTCTAGAGGAACCTGTCGCCCCTCTTGGTCTCCGAGATCACTACCCACACAGAAATATATACACATATTTAAAACAGAATATTTTATAAAGTTCTCATCTAATGCTGTGATTCAGCACAATGGTAACTTCTTATGTAGTATATATGACACCTTGATTCAAACAATCATATTACAATATTACATTTCTCATTTTGTTTTTCTTTTCTTTTTTAAAAATTTAAGTTAGAATCAATGTCAATCCCAGCTACCTCTCCCTCCCCGCCTTCCCCAATTTCCACACAATGCCCCGCAAGTCCCCACCCAATCTCTATCTGATCCTTAGAGAGGATGAGGCCCTCCATGGTGGATCTCCAGTGTCTGCCATTTCATCCAGGGCAGGGCCTAGGCCCTCCCACAAGAGTCCAGGCTGAGAGAGCAACACTCATTATGAGATGGGCACCCAAAGTTGATTTTTATGCCAGGGATAAATACTACCCAAGGCCCCATAAATTACCTAGGCCTCCTCACTGACACCCACATTCAGGGTGTCTGGATCAGCCCCATGCTTTCCACTCAGCAAGCAATCCGGGGTCCAAGAGCTCCCCCTTGTTCAGGTCAACTGTTTCTGTTGGTTAAACCAGCACAGTATTAACTCCTTTTCCCAGAAGTTCTCCCGCTCTGTCACTGGATTCCAGTTCAGTTCAGTGTTTAGCTGTGGGTGTCTGCCACTGCTTCCACAGTCACTGGATGAAGGTTCTGTTTCCCAGACTCTCTGGCCATGGGATTATTGGCTGGCAGTCCCTTCATTCATGACTAAAATCAATATATGAGAAGGTATATCATGTTTCTCTTTTTGTGACTGGGTTACCTCACTCAGGATGATTTCTTTTAGTGTCATCCATTTGCCTGCAAATTTCAAGATTTCAATGTTTTTTCCTGCTGAATAGTACTCCATTTTGTAAATGTACCACATTTTCTCTATCCATTCTTTAGTTGAAGGGCATCTACGTTGCTTCCTGGTTCTGGCTATTACAAATAGTGCTGCTATGAACTTAATGGAACAGACATCCTAGTTGTATGAATGTGCATCTTTTGGGTATATGCCTAAGAGTGGAATTGCTGGGTCTCATTTTCCTGAGGAATCTCCAAACTGATTTCCAAAGTGTGTGTATGAGTTGGCACTCCCACCAGCAGTGGAGGAGTGATCCCCTTTCTCCACATCCTCTCCAGAATAAATTGTCATTGAAGTTTTTTATTTTAGCCATTCAAAAAGTAGTAAGGTGGTACCTCAGAGTTGGTTTCATTTGCATTTCCCAGATGGCTAGGGATGTTGAGCACTTTCACAATGTCTCTCAGCCATTTAGACTCCTTTACTGAATATAAACGTTTAATTGCCATGTGTGATGATCTGTACCTTGTTCAGTTCAGATGCCCTTAGAAATTTAAAAAGAAACTTTAACAGGGCTGTGATAATAGCTCTGAAGTTCAAGCTCTTGCCACACAGGAGGGCTTGAGTAGTACCTAAAGTCCAAAATTCTGTCCCCATGAATAACAAAAAGCTGGGTCATAGGACATCCACATTTTGGTAGTCTAACTTTTCTGCTCCACAGAGACATTTAGACAAGGATAGAACCATATGTCTGATGAGGAGGGTGTTCCTAATGTAGTCATGCTCTGATATCACATGCTCCCAAACTATACCAGAGGGTTCTGCATGGTATGGAAAATACCAGATTTCAATATATTGTCAGCCAAAAATGGGAACGATATGCAGCATCCAGGACTACAGAGGCCAAGAACATGGAAATACAGCAATGCCATCTCAAGTAAGTTAGTCTTGCATCCTTCCCTGTGGTTTCTGTGTGTTCCTAAAGATCACATAGGTTTGGAACATAGTCTGAACTTCCTGTCATTGTCACTTTAAGTGACACTTTGGAAGAGACCTCAGTATTAGGGAAACAGCCACAGCACTTGTGGTTTCAAAGGTTGAAGTTATTATGATAAAGCATGAGGGGACATTGCCTGGGGGACATTGATGGATTCCATTCCAGGTGAGGGTGACCCAGGATGGGAAATACATGCCAGGCAGACAGAGCTTAAGTAAGAAATTTTATTAGAAAGAGGAAGGAGGGTGAAGGAAAGAGAAAAGAGGTAAAGAGACACATAGAGGACAGAAGAGAAGAGGGAGAGAGGAAAAGTCCTGTCTGCCCCAAGGGAAGAACTGGAAAGAGAAAGGGAAGAGGGAGGAAAAAGAGGGAGCAGAAAGAAAGGGAATGAGAGGAGCAGGAAAGAAAGTAACAGGGCAGGGACTTTCTCTTAAAGGGGTCATTTACACCTTGGTGCAATGAGGAAACCCTGGACTGACCAGGGTACTTACTGAGTGCATTCTGCCAGGTGACACAAGGAGGCCAGCCTAATACCAGAATCCTTAGAAAAGTGACTTAAATGATTTAACTGGCATGCCCTGGAGATACAAGGAAGTGGTCCTCTACCATTTCCAGTGCTGTAAATTTTGTATCCCGGGATCTACAGACCTGAACAAAATAAATTTGTATTATTTTAGCATCCCCCATTCTTGGGCACTGTGTGAGCAAGGGGACACTGGTAAGATGCTCCATTTCTGCATTGCTAGGTGGGTTTGGGAGCTGAAAAGACTCACAGCAGCCTGCTGGGTCAACCTCTCTTGCCAGCTCCACAAGGAACATCTCAGTTCATTCAAGCCTCACTGAGAACAAGCCACTCTCCTTTGGGGAACATGGTGTTTTCTTGACTCCTGGACATTATCTGAGAACTTCCTGCTTTCACACAGGTGGCACCTGCACCTCCTGAAAGATGAAAGACAAACAAATCAGAAGTTCCCAGGGAAGCCTGCAATACTGTCTCACATTAATCCCAAGCACCCCCAATGCCCACTGTTCCAGATAGCCTCAGTCCATGTAAGAGTTCACTCACTTCAAGGGTTGCGTTATCTCTGAAGCCCACTTGTCACTGCTCACCACTCACTCAGAAAACACTTGATGAGTAGAGACTTACTTTTACAGTCACTGAATGGAAAGGAGTTATTCCCAGATGGTTCTGAGTGCCTTTGGTTGAGATGACTGGAATGAAAGAATGAAGCAAGTCAGAATATAGGATGGTCACATGACAAAGGAAAACACATGGTATACAGAAGTCTCAGATGCTGGTGAACACTCATACATGTAAAAAATAATTTGAAACAATGTTCAAAATCACTCTTAAAGACAATGATGGAATTGTTCTGCGCAAGATGGGGTGGGAATTTTTATATCATATGACCAAAATTGTTCCTCTTTCATCCCAGATATCTCAAATCCTTTGGGGATTTGGCAGATGCTGCACAGCCCATCTTAGGAAGTCATTTTTTTGGTTCCTGGAGGATAAGTTCTGCTGACCCCAGACCTCCCCTAGGCTCTGTTTCTCACTCAGCCTGTTCTTGCTCTGTGACTCTGTAGGACTTGCTCACTTGCTCCTCCTGCACTGTCCCTGTGTCATTACAGAGACAGGTGGGATTTCATGTGGGGTCACTCTGAGTGAACTCTTTGAATGAAATTAACTTCAGTTTAGGTTTTCTAAAAGAGTTGCTAAATTTAAGTAAACTGAAAACATTTGGGTAAGTTTCAGGATATATGAAGAGCAATAGATATAACATTAAAAATGAAAATGTTGTGAAAGTCTTCTACTTCAATGTGCTGACTCAGAATAGACATGAAGCAGACAGAGCTGTCATGGGTTAATCAATGTGCAGTGACAGGCTTCTTTCAGAATAGAGCCCGGAGCAAAGGATGTGTGTGGTTACAGAGTCCACAGGGCTTGCATTTAGAACCACCTGGCATGCAAGAATCTAAGGGCAAATGTGATGAGCCTTTTAGCCCATGATGGACACACCTGTGGGAGATTGTTTATTAAGATTAATTAGGGTTTGCACGTACACCAAAAGAGTGGGCATAACCATCCTTGGATCCTAGACAGCATGAA